ATACTCACAAATTCACACAACACATCAAAGGAGGTTTGGAAATTTGTTAATAATAATATCAACAGACACAAAATCAACCGCAAACCTATTACGTTGATACAGCAAACGGCATGATATCCGAGCCCATTAATATCGCAAACTTGTTTGGAACACATTTCACAAACTCTATTGCGAATACACTGAGAAATGCGATAACTGTGACATCTGACAATGATAGTGTTAAAGTAGTCAATCATGCCTCCATGTTTTTTCACCCCTATAGTGAGCACGAAGTTATTAGTATTATATCAAATCTCAAAAATAAGACTTCAGTTCAGCAAATATATTTTAGCACCTCATCTCACCCAAATAATCAGCCTTTCTCTACTCACAGGCTAATTTCCAGATCAAATTAAAAATTTCAAAGACAATACCAGTTTTCAAAAAAGGGGACGAGCGCCTAATTGAAAATTACAGGGCAATTACACTGGTTAATCCCATCTCCAAAGTCATCGAAAAAGCTGCATATGATCGTATATAACCTCTTTTTTAGATAAATACGAAATCTTGCATAAGTGTCAACATATGGTTTTAGAAAAGGCCGATCCACCGAAACGGCAACGACAGAATTCACACAGTACATATTCGAAAAACTAGAACAGAATTATTTCGTGTTAGGAATTCTCTTTGACATATCACGTGCATTCGATACACTGAATCCGCGGATATTGTCTAATAAACTCAACTCGCTGGGCATACGAGGCTCGCTGAACGACTGGGTCATTTCATATGTTTCCAATCGCCAGCTCGTAGTACAGACAGAAAATGTAATATCAGAAAAATTTAGCATAGAACTGGGTACACCGCAAGGAAGTATCCAAGGCCCGCTACTATTCATCTTGTATGTCAATGATCTGCATTTACACATAAGTACGGGAGAGACATTGATGTATGCAGATGATACCTCAATAGTGGTGCATGGCAAAACGCCAGAAGAAGCAAATAACAGGGCCCTTACAGTCATACATGAATTTCATGAATGGTGCCAAAGAAATCAACTTTTAATCAATATTAGTAAGACAACATGCATTGAATTCACTGGAATGCATAAAAACCAATCAGACTACAATATATTAATAAACAATATCACGATGAGCATGTGTGAAGATGCAAAAAATTTTTGGGCACATTCATCGACTCCAAAATGCACTGGAACCGGCACATTGACTTTATCTGCAAAAAACTCAGTAGCCAGTGTTTTGCGATTAAGCAACTGAAGAGATCCTTGAACATGAAATTTCTACTAAATGTATACTATGCATTAGTTCACTCAACTCTGAACTACAACATTATGTCATGGGGAAATATCACAGAAATGGAAAGACCTTTTGTAATACAAAAAAGGATAATTCGTGTAATATTTGATCTTTCCTATAACGAATCATGCCGAGATACTTTCATGCGGAACAACATCCCTACAACTAGTATATATCTCATGAAAATCTTAATGTATGTCAAAACAAACATCAATTACTTTGAGAAAGTCGGAGATATGTCAAAGTATGCCACTAGAAATTCTAAAAATTTGCGACTGGGCAGGGTTAATCACGCATTCTTTAAAAGAACTGGAATCTACAGAGGATGTTTTTATTTCAACTTGCTTCCTCACAATATCAAATGTTCGTCCGTAATAATCTTCAAAAAAGAACTGAGAAAGATTATGAACAAAGGTTGCTTCTACAATATACAAGAATTTGAAAATTATTTAAAAACTATAAATAGAAGTAGGTACATAACCAATAAATAAACCTTGTTAGCATAATTAGTGGATATAATTGTTTACCTGCACTCTAGTTTTGTGTAAGGTCAGTTGGTATATTGTAATGTTATCTGGACCTGTATCTTAATTGAGTTTTTCAGTTATACATAACTCACATCTGTGTATACGAACACACAAATAGTGTATCGGTGTACACAGTGTATTAGTATATACATGGATTTTATCTCCAGTATACTAAATTGTATCTGTTGTATGCTATTTAATTGTACACAATTCATATTTTATGTAATTTCCATAAGATTATCTTGGTTTATAACCTAGTTGACATTCACAATCCACGTCTATGGAAGATGTGTTTAGTATAGGTATATACCTTATACATTTCATTTTATGTATTTCTGACTTACCTAATCCATGTAATAGTAGCAATGAAGAAGAAAATAAATATCTATCTATCTATTCAAGTATTTCCTTATGTAATGAAGGGATCTCATATTTTTGAAAAAATTTTAAATCCTGTGGTGATCCAAGGTTTTCTGAAATGGAAATGCTATTTCAAAAAATTCACATAATTTTTTGTGATAGATTTCGAAAGAAACTTCGTATATGAAAACTGCCTCCCATTTCAAGTTAGAGCAGAGAGTGTGAAATTTTCTATTTGTTTTAAATAACTTATCTACTTGGTGTGATGAAAACATGCTTCATTTAAATATAAATGAAGTTATCAAATAACATTTTCAAGAGCTGTAAAACCTTTTGTATATCCATATAAAATCAAAAACATTAATCTAACGTTAACTAACGGCGTTCGGTAATTCAGAGTGATGTTTGATAGTAACCTTTAAAGGTCATATTGATCAGATTATATCTAAATCACTCAAATTATTGAGATTTGTTCAACGATCCACAGATAAATTTTCTATAAATACCTTTAAAAACTGTACTGTTCTTTGGTACACTCGGTCTTGGAAAATAATTGTGTGATATGGAGTCCTTTATATCAGACAGATATATCTATGATCGAAAAAGTACAAAACAAATTTCTGAAATCATGTGCATTTAAGCTCGGATATCTGAGGTCTGAATATGAGTACTCAGACATTTGCCTTCTTCTGAATTTATCTACTTTGGAGCACCACCGAGCTAAAATTGATCTAAGACTTCTTCATAAATTTATAAATGTGATATGAACTGTCCATTTGTAATACAAATGATCAACTTCAATGTAAATTCAAGTTCCTTACCATTCTACTAGCTATGGCTTAAATGAAACCATCACTAGAATGCTTAGGTTAGCAAATAAGAATAGCAGCTATATTGATTTGTTTGACTCATCTTTGTACTCTTTTAAAAATACGGTTGAATGTATTGACCTACTATGAAGAAACTGCTGATTATTGTTATTAATAATTAATTGATATTAGTTTTTTTTTCTTGCTATTTTATATTATTATTCAATTGTTCATTTTTTCAATCACACTATTTATGTGTTCATTGTATAATGGCAAGTCCTTAAATAAATAAATAGTAAACCCAAAAAATAAACCTAGAACTAAAAGAAAAGGCAGAAAAATGGTTCTCACAAAACAAGTTGAAGCTAAATAGAGATAAAACCCAAAATATTATTATATTATTAAATAATCGCTTAACCAATGATAATCATATTAAACTGCTTAGCATAACTATAGACAATTCACTCAAACGGGAAAATCACATTGAAATGTGTAACAAGCTATCCAGCCAACTTTATCTACTTTGTAGGCTGAAGATAGTTCTGAGCACCCAAACACTAACAACCTCCTATCATTCATTACTCCACTCACTTAACATATGGTGTACTCCACTGGGGTAGGTCTTTCTATGCTCTGAAAGCATTCCGTTTAAAAAAAAACTCTCAGGATTAATGCAAGTGTCCCACTTAATGAACACTGTCAACCACTTTTTGTAAAATTTAAAATCATGTCATTGCCTTGTATTTTCTTGCACCACGCACTGCTTCAGATTCACAAGAATAAAAGTACATATTCTCCTTATTCTGACTATCACAATTACATCATAAACTAATACAACCCCGGGTCAAGCTAGAAATGTATACAATCATCTTCCTTTTGATACTTCGATAACTGAAACATCTCGTGCTCGTTGATGTAACTCAGGTGTACTATACAAGATATAAATTTTTTTTATATAAAAACCTTGTTCTTTACATTGTAAGCATCTATTGTTTATGTAAATATTAGTAAATGCCTGACATATGCTAATTTTATTTGTATTTACTTGTGTAAATACTGGTGAATGTATAAAACGCCAATAAATTATCTATCTATCTCGTTTTGTATAAATCATATTCAAACTCCAATAAGGGCTCACATTTATCACTTATTATTTATTTTTCACGATTGAATCTATTGGAGCCTCTGGAGACACTCTACATTTTGTTTTATGAGAGAGAGGACATTGGTAGATCAAGATCTTCAGATGATGTAGTGCTGCAGGTTTTTTCGGGTTTTCCCGCAGCTGAAAAAGCAAATGAGCCACTGGAATCGATGAAGTCGCCCCGGAGCGCCAATTAATTTTTATCGTTGTTGTCTTCAATATAAGGAACTACGGTTTTTCACGATCCAATATCATTGGACAACTAATTCGACCGATCACATAACAGTGCCCGGCATTTGCAACTTGCAACCACAAAATATTTTATGTTGTTTTCACAGAGAAAGCCAATTCAGAAGAAATTTATTTACCGCAAACAAAATCCCTATTGATATGGGCAATAAAATGACTTTGAAAAAGCAAATGAATCGCAAAAATTAACAAAACAAACATCAACAAATGACATGTGACACTAATGACATATACACAGAGTAACTAATATACGTCCTAATAAAATAGAAATCCTTATATATGGTAACTTCAAAACAATAGTTTCATTCAAATTGTTAATAAATATTTCCATACAACAGGATATCGAACTGCTGTCTTCCATGTAAGTTTAAGTGAGAACTTACAGTTTTAGTTTCTGGTGTCTATTCACTACTTCGCATTATAAACGTATAATAGTCTTTGAAATCAAACCATATTTTCTTCAATCATCAATGAACGATATTGTTATGTAGAATGTGATAATAAATACGAATGATTCAAATCGAAAGATCTGAGGTAAGTGCGGTTGGGTTGGTAGAATAAAAATAAATCAAAGTTGGCAATATGGAGTACACATAAAAATAACATTGGGTAAAGATCAAGAATAGGATCGGGTATCCATCTTGAAGCAAGTTACACATTTTTTGTTTTCTATTTCTACTAACGAAACTCCTTGAGGAAATTGAGAAATAATAAAATCATTACTGTTGATGAGTGATAAAAATTATATATTCAAGAGTGAAAAAGCTGAATTCTCAGATTCGGTAGGTAATATATTTGTCTACGGATATGATGGTTACTGGTCATCGCCATTTTCATATAAATAAAATGATATATGTGTTCAATCTTTAAAATGTTATTTTCAATTAGATTTTTGCAGGAAAGTTCAGCAATTGTAAATCTGTAATGAAAAAAAATTAAGATAACTCTCGCTCTTGAAATTTTTCTCTATTCAGAATATAGTAGGTACTATTTATCCAATAATATTAAAAGAAATTCGTCTTTGTCTCTACTCGAGTAAACAAAGAGCAAGTTCAAGTAGATGAAGTCTACGTCAAAAATTATACATATGCCACTGTTTGTAGGCATGAGCAGTTGTATTTGTCAAGTCTCACGACTCCTACAGAAAACGTATATTTTCTCAATGTCATAATGTTCAAAGCTATGAATAATCTAGTTATCAATTTCATTTTATCATTTTAAAAGGTTTCATGAATGAATAAAATATGGAATTACCTATCATACACCCAATGATGATATTGACAATTACGAATTTGCCGCCATGCGTTCGTCTATCGTACTTGTAGAGGATGCGGTTGAAGTTTGTAGTTCACTAAATTAACGACGTTACGTTAATGTGGCAGCACTTTCGGTATGTTTGGTTTAGATTTTGGTTGTCTTCTGAATATTATCGTAATTTAAGAAGAAATAGAGGTGAGTTTTTTTTTAAATTGAATGTCAAAATGGATAAACAGCATGCATAATATCTCAAATCTAGAATTATTTAATTTCTTTATAAAAACGACGGAAATGTACGAAGAATGTGTTCGATTTCCGTACGTTCGGAAAAACAGCCATTTTGTTCGGTCACGTACTAGTCACTACAGTGATGCCGATATTTTAAATACGTTGATTTTTATGGCGCTAAATATAAACGAGTCGTTCATTTTTTAGATTTATTGACAGTCGTCCACATTGAAGAGACATTGTTGAAAAAGGGGGTTATCATGGACGAAAAAGCCGAAGAAGCTTCACCGACTACAGATACGGAGCCCGTGCCTATACAACCGGTTGAGCCGGACCCAGGTGTGACTGACGCTAGTGATTCGACTGCAAGCGCGGGAATGAACACGAACGCTGAAATGTCAGAGCCTATGGAAACAAATTTACCAATTTCCGATCCTACAGATCAGTCTACCGAATTGGCTATTTCAGCAGCTACAGAGGAACTTTTGGAGACTCTCACATCAGAAGCACCAACGTCTACAGAAATATTTACATCTGAAGCAGGTATTACTTCGCATGTTACAAGTGTTGCTGATGCCTGCATGTCTTCTGATGCTTTATCTGTAGAAGCTGTTTTAATGTCTGGTGAAGATGTGAACCCTGACAAAGATTTTACTACAGCTATGGTAGAAACACCCACTGACGAACCGATTGTTGATACCTCCCATGTAGAATCTGTGGATTCGGAAGACGCTGGTACGAAACAGGTTACAGAAAAACAAATATTGGATCCTGTTTGTACTCTAGAAGAGGAGCTACAACGGCTTCATGAGGGGGATCCTCCTGTTGAGGAATCTGTTGATAAACAAGTACAAGAAACAGAGTTGTCAAAGAAACCAGTAGTGGAAGATGAAAATTCTGACGATGTTGAAAAAACAAATAACTTACTTCCAAGAAGTAGTAGATTTAAAGTCAAAGTTGAGGAACCTGTTGAGACTTCAAGTAAGTCTGTCGAAAAGTCAGCTAAGTTTGTAATCACTAAATCTGCAGATAAAATGAGAAAACATGTGGAAAGAAACAATTCTATAGATAAAGCAAGCAATATTTTGGAGAAAACCCTCAAATCTGGGGAGAGAAAGGGTCATTCGCCTGCAATACGAGTTGTTCAAACTCCCATTATGAAAGACTCCGAGTTGGAAGAAATGCTATCAGCCGATGAAATCTTGAGTGATCGTATTTTGATAAAAGGTGAGTTTTAATCTCATTATATTTTTTCTTTCATTATCTCACTTAGTGATTTTAGTCTCAGTCTGTATTCTAAGGAAAATCTAATACTTTTGTCAGCAAATATTCTTTTGGTAAATGTTAGTTTTTCTAGACCACACTAGTTAAAAGGGTCTCTAACTGCCAATTTTGAGATGAGTTTAAATAATTTTCGTGAAAAATTCCCTATATCAAAAAGAACTGTTCACGTTTTTCTTGAAAAAATAAAACCAGTCAGGGGTAAGGTGTGTATTGGAACATATAATTCTTTCAAGAAAATGTAGATATTCCTGATACATATTTGACGATGCTAATATGTGTCTTTTGAATGATGTACTAGATGATTTTTAACCGGTTTTCATATATGCTTTTTGAAAGTGTTGTGAGCAGTTCTGGGTTTATCTGTTGGTTTTTCTTGTAATATTCCAAAGACACATTCAATGAGCAGAAAAATCTCCAAGAACAATTATTTCCAGATCTTCATTGTCCATCTGAGGCTTTCGTTTGGTTATTTTTGGAAGAAATGATCCATGATGCGAATAATTTTTCAACAGTCTTTTTACGGTATTGTGATTTGGTTTGAGTTCCTACGGATACCTTTTGGCAAATAAACTGCATGCCCAGTCAATAATTCGATTACAGTTACCACAGATCATAATCAAATTTATTTGTTTATTTATGTATATACACTGGTAAGCCCAATTCAGATATAAGTAGTACAGTACTATGTAGTAATTGATGAAATACAGTGGATTAAAAGTAAGTTATAACAATAATACGATTCCGAATTAAGATAACAAGTATATTATTTAAGAAAAAATTAAAATGTATAACAATATGAACTGATATAATTCTTACAGGCAAGTAACACTAGACACAATACAACAACACAAGCAGAGAGTATTAGATGGCTAAGTGAAGAATATGGTTTTTAAAGTGGGATACTGATATATTAAAGATTTGAAGGTTATTTAAAGAGTTAGCCAATCCAATTTAAAAAATCTTCGTTTGTATAATCTGAACGGGACATTTTGCTCACGAATTTTTAAAATCCACTTATAAAAATGATGACATCAATAAATCAACAAGTACCTTCATTTGTTTCCATAACATTGATATTGTGTTGAACGATGATTCATTTATGTATACAGGTAATTCCCATGAGAAAAATTTAATAATACAAATACAGTGTTTCCTTAAAACTAACTTAACTTCAATGTATGTATAAATGTATCAATGTAAACATATAAAATTTAAATGATATAGACTTAAAATCATCATCCTAGTTGGTTATCTATAAATTCTGTTGCTACACTGTTTTTTAAAAGTATTTGGTGAAATTCCTATATCACAATTAAAACAATTGGCTTCTCACATAAAGCTTGATATGGGTGAGAAGTATCCATAGTTAGTATAGTGATTAGGGACAGCAAAGAGATCATTGTTCCTAGTTTAACAAACAGGTACTCGGAATGAGACTTCATGTAAAGGTCATTGCAATTAATGTTGAATAGACAATGTAATATTTTTGAATTTTCGCTCTTTTATGACACATTTAGAATGAACATTTTCAATCCATTATTTATTCATCTGAAATCCTGTATTTAATAAAAACCATGGCAGCAAAAATACACTTTCTGCAACTGTTCAAAAATGAGGTTTTTTAGTCTGCAATTTTATGACACACATGCATGTTTTATTTTTTCAAAAACGTCCAAAATAGCTTGTAAATGGTTGATTTTTGATTTAGGGAATGTTTCATTAAAATGAGTCAAAATCATCTCGGAAAATAAAATATATCCCAAAATATAGTTTGTTCCATTTGAAAAAACTTGAGTTTTTGTTCATTTTTATATCCTCAGTATTAAACTTTGATTCCGAAAACCTTGTTTAACATTTTGGAATGTTTCTCTGACAAGAGGAAAGAATGAAGTTTCTGATAATAAGATAGTTTGGCATTGGAAAATTCACTTACAGTTGATTCAGTTTTATTGTTGAATTTCTCTATAGAACTTGCTGTTATGACAGTAGTGATATCATATACATAAATGAATACTTGTGCTTTTTTAAAGTTGAAATCTGTTTTTCTGTTAACCACCTTATGTCTCCTTACAAACAACAACCCTCAGAATTGTAGCAAAGTTTGAAAAATCGAATTGAGAATAACTATATTTAAGCAATTAAAAGCTGATGAAATGACTATATTTCAATGTACTGATCAAATAATAACAGAAATTGATTCAATCCACTCTCCAGGGAGATCAATGTTGCTCGATCAAACTTTGGGAAATTATTGATTTAATATGGATATTATATTTTTGTATGTATTCGTGAGTTTCATATTGCCGATTATTTTTTCACCCTTATCAATAACAACACAAGCTCTTTGCTATATCACTGATAATTCACTGTCAATCAATTTTCATAGAATTTTATATATTTTGTAGTAAGAGTGGAGTTGATGATTTTGAATTCAAAGCAAGGACAAAATAACTCAAGAATTCATGATTGAGTCATCTAACCGTTATATTTCAAATTAGAACAAAGATATTTGCATTTGGAAAAATAATCCTGAAATTTGGAGAGATAGGTATTCCTTTACTCTGTTCATAAATTTGCTATTGATGTTTCTTATACCGTGTGTCTTATTTTTGAAACCTGATAAGTATAGTTGTTTGATATGTGTGATTGATTGTTTACTTTATGGTAATTCATGATCACTGAAATGAATGAAAACACTTTTGTCTAAATACCACAGGTGAATTTTATTTATATGACCGGTTTCGGGTTTGACCCCACAAAAATTCCAATGCACTCTACATTGGGTACCAAAAAACTGCATTTTTCATCAAATCCACAATTAATAGGCATATTTATTGATGACAAACTAACTTATGAGATACAAATAGAAAAACTTACCAAAAAGCTTACAAGTAAATGTTACGGGATCAGAGTTCTGAAGAGACACTTGAATATTGATGCTCTAAAAACTGCCTACTATATGGAACTGTTTATCCATTTTTTAAATATGGTATACTAGTATGGGGTGGAAGTACATAATTTGCAACATATTTTTCATCATGCAAAAACGCATTTTGAAAGCCATGTTTAATCTGTAGTATACTCATGTCGAGGCAATTTTCAAAAAGAACAAAATGTTCACAATAAATGAAATTTTACATATATGTCTGTGTAATTTTTATGCATGATAATAAATCAAAATTTGCCAATGATATACACAAACATGATTATTCTACTAGATTAAAAACAAATTTCATCCTTCCTAAGTACAGGCTGACAATCTCAGAAAAAGGTCTGCTTTATATGTCCATATCAAATTGCTCACACTGGTTAGAAAAGGCTATACTAGGAATATGTTGAAAGGAACTATAACTCTTGAAATTGAATTGAACTCATTTTGTTCACATGCTGGCCATGTCAAGCCGCTGGACTACCTAAGAACTTAACCTCAAAAATAATTCAATGGCTAGTTGAGAACGATTTCTCTTAATTTAAATTTAGTGGTAATTGCTTTATGAAATTTGGAATCATTTTTAGTATATACTCTATATTAATAATTATTAACACTTGAGAAAGCTATTGTGTATTTAAATATGTGTTGCGGTTTTTGTAATGCCCTTTATAGTGAAAATCATACAATAAACTGTATTAATGAGTTTTCAATTATAAAATCATTTATATGTATTGTGTTTCAGATTCTCAGGAGGATATTGGAACAACGGATTTGTTTATTTGCGGAAAGTGTCATGAAACATTCAATTTATCAGAGGAATTTCAAAAGCACAAAGCCAGAAAATGTTCAACTAAATCGAATTTATTATCAGTTTGTGCGAATGAAGGCCAACCAGAAATATGGGCATACACTTTGTGGAAGAACAAGCAACTTAAAGTTCGAAAACCCGGTATTCCCTCACCTTCCTCATGGGATATCTTCAGAAAGTGGGTTCAGTTGGCACAAAGTAATAAAAATCCCTGGTTATCAGCTGGAGAAACATTACAATTTTGTTCAAAAATATCGACTGCCCAGTTGATGGAAAATAACCAATTATCAAATACAGACACAGACTTGAAACAATTGCCAAAACCTGTACAACTGAAAAAACCTGAACAGTTGAATGTAAAAAAAATAGAGCATGATCCATTGGCACTAGATGGATTTGGTAATTTTTTTGTATTGTTATATTAGAAAAATCACTTTTCAATTTTTTAATTTTAGGAGACAACAATAAGGAAAATTCAACCATTGGTAATTTAAAAAAGTCATCAGTTGAAGTAAGAAAGCCTGCTATCAGTAAGCCTCCTATGAAATTGGTGAAAGAAGTTATTTTACCAGCTCCAAAGGTATTTTTTTTTCAATTTATACATTATCTATCGACTGAATTCATTTAAAAACTGGTATATTTCATAAAATCTAGAGAAATATCAATAGAAGTTATCAGCGATTGGAAAATGAAAGCCAGATCCTACTGGTAAATCTTTTTAAATTTACATTCATGAAGTGTACTACAATCGGCACTGAAAAATTTGAATATTTATCATTAACATATTTTTGTAGGTAAATTCCAATAAAGCTATGAGAACAATGACTAGCGTTGAAAAGGGAGAGTATGCTGTGGAAAGAATTGTGGCAAAACGATTCAATGCCAAAAAAAAGAATTGGGAGTACCAAATCAAATGGGAGCATTTTCCCAGGTGAGTAATGCTCAAAAACAGTAATTGAAATGAAGAAAATAAAATTCGGGCTGGTAGGTAGGCTATGGTTGAATGGGACCTAAAGTACCAAATGTTTTGATTGCTACTGCAGCAGACATCATCAGTGGTATGTGTGTTGATTGCGTGGACAAAGGTTATATCTTTCAGCAACAACTGACTTGGTTGTTGGTGAGAATTTGAGATATGAGCTTTGTCCTTGCAGTCAATGCACATACTTCTGATCATGTTTGCATGCGTTTGGTACTTCAGGTTCCACTCAACCATGACCTACCAGCCAGTATTTTGTTCTCTTTAATTGTGACTTTGGCCGTGAAAGTTTATGTTCTTATAATTATTGAAATATGTTTAATGCAGGATAATAAACGTAAAGGAGTTGAATAATGTGATTTATCAACTCTATCTTTAACTCAGGGTTTTTATCCGAGGAAAAACAAAGTAATAACTATTCATTAAAAATACTTCAATTGAATGCAGAGTCACTGACTAATAAAATTAACAAATTGGAAGTTCTCGCATCAGAAGAGAAACCGGACATTATTAGTATTGTTGAACACTGGTGTGATATTGAAAATATTGAGTTCATGTCTATACCTGGTTATGAAATTGTATCCAAATTTTGTCGCTCAACTCATATACATGGGGGAACAGCATTTTATGTTAAATCATCCAATGTATCGCGGAGCCTAAATTTTGGGAGATGGTCCGAAGAAATCCATTGTGAATGCAGTGGGATAAAATTAGTTATAGAGGACAGAAAGATTTGTATACTTAGTATTTATAGATCCCCAAACGGTAACTTTGAAACGTTTTTGCATATTAGAGAATAGTTTAGGCTATGCTGATGATATCTTTGTTTGTGGCAATTTGAATGTCAATTACCTAGAAAATACTACTGAAAAGATCCAATTAGATGAACTACTACTCAATTTCAATTTACAAGTGACATCTTTGACTCCTACTAGAGTTTTTACCAACCAGTCAGGGAAAACTTCATCTACTAAAGTCGATTACATACTAACAAACGTTGAGAACATGTTTTGCAAATCTAATGTTTATGAAGGTAGTTTCAGTGATCACAAAGTATTCACGGTTACTTATAATATGCCATTAGAAAAATCTAAACTTATTGAACAATCTTATGTTATGTATAGAGATGTATCAGAGCATAACTTGAAACAACTCTCCTCGACAATGTCCAAAACCAGTTTTGATGTAGTATATAACAAAACTGATATAGATGAGAGCTTTCTGGCCTTCATGAATATTATAAGTGATGCTATCGATAAATGTTGTCCGACCAAAAAACACAAATCGTCCACTAGTAACAAACATAACTGGATAACTCCTGAAGTGAAACAGGCCAGTCTTGATTTAAAAAGTATGCATTGGTTATGTAAAAATATAGGCAACGAAGATTCTCGTGCTGCATACAAAAATGTAATTAAGAATTCCAACAATAAAAATAGAACAGTTTGGAACCTAGTTAACAAAGAAATGAACAGAAAAAAAAATTCAAAGAGATATTGCTCTCACCTATAATAATAAAGTAATCACAGACAGAGATCATGTTGCGAACATATTTGGGGACTATTTCTCTTCAGTAGTAGAAAATAGCTTAGCAGACCATTTTGGCGACAATAGATCATCCATATGCACGGTTTCTGGAATTGAATCGAATACTTTTTTCTTTATGCCCGTTAACTAATGTGAAATTGACGCAGTAATTAACAGTGTAAAAAATAAAAAAAGTACAGGAATTGATAATATATCAGTGAGAATTATAAAAGAAATTGTGTTACACATTTCAAAACATTTAGCTTATTTGTTGAATCTATCAGTTACAAGTGGCAAATTCCCTTCAATTCCAAAAACAGCCATGATCATACCAGTTCATAAGAAGAACGACACATCGGATATTACAAACTATCGCCCCGTGGCCCTGCTAAGCATTTTCTCAAAAATATTTGAAAAGGTTGTGAATGAGAGAATATTAAGATTTTTATCAGGGTTTAAGATCCTGTCCGATTCTCAACATGGTTTTTGCAAAGGCAAGTCCACTCAATCAGCTACTTGGAGATTCTTAGAAATCATATACGCTTCTTTAGATAGGGGTAAGCATGTTGCAGGAGTATTCTTCGATCTGTCACGTGCGTTCGATTGTTTAAATTTTAAATTCATCAAGAGCAAATTATATAATCTAGGATTTAGAGGGGACTTCCTAGAATGGATCTGTTCTTAAATTGGTGTGAAAGGAGCAATCTGATTGTAAACTTGACCAAAACAAAATATATCTATTTTAATTTAAAAAACGATCTGAAAAAGCAATCACTTGCCTTACTAATCAATGGAATGGCACTGGCATGCACAAGTTGTACAAAATTCCTTGGCGTTCATGTAGACAACTGTTTGAAGTGGTCTGACCATATCACAGTTGTTTGTAAAAAAATCAATCAAGGGTATTATGCAATTTCAAGAATTAAGAATTGTATGTTTTTACGTGCCATTTTAGATGTATATTACAGTCTGGTCTATAGCCATCTAAGTTATAATGTGATCCTATGGGGAAACAGTGTTGACAAAGATAGGGTTTTCATTGCTTTAAAAAAAGTTGTTAGGAAATTACTAGGCATCCCTTGGAGGGAATCATGCAAGACATTTTTCATTAGTCATGAAATTTTAACCTTTCCCTGCATCTATATCTTTAAAATACTTTTATATGTTCGCGAATGTATAACAGACTGTACTAAGAACTCATTCTATCATAGCTACCCAACTCGATATGCAGAGGAGTTGAGCATTCCTAAACATAAAACTATAAAATTCGAACATTCTCCCAAATATATGGGAATAAAATTATTCAATCGGTTACCAGACCATTTCAAACAGATGAACACTGTAGCATTTAAAAAAGCAGTTAAAACATTGCTTCTTTCTAAGGCCTACTATAGTATTGGCGAATTTCTCTCGGACCATCTCGACTGAATGGGTTCATGCGGCTTTGGCATGACATATTCAATTTTTATAACTACAATTGTTTTAATTTTTGTAATTCTGACTTTTGTTGTATAAATTTTTATTGTATTATTTTTATCTACTGATCTACAATTTTATCGTTTGATGTGATTTTTATGTGCTTAATACTGACCTATCCTATACGTTTGTCAACGTCTTTGAGGATGAATAAATATTATTATTATTATCATTCAGGGTACCCAGCGATCTGGAAAATCTGGAATAGTCAGGAAAAATAAAAATTTGTAAAAAGTACAGGTATGGCCTTATTACACAAAAGTTAGGGAATTTTCACTAGTTTCTGGATATTTTGAATATTTCAGTATTTATAATTATTTTGTGAGTTGCTGTTTTTGTCCTGCAATATTGTATTCGGTCATAAATATTGCAACTGTGGATGAAATTTCTTGAGAGGAGTCGATTATAGGGGATATTTGTGGTTCGTGCATTCTGGTTCTATTAACAAAGTTTTGGGGTATTAATTGAAATTTCAAAGGTGTATTGTAGCTGATCATAATCAGCTACAATACATTTCTAAAGAAATTAGGTGTGACTGGAGAGTTAGAAAATGCTTCTGTTACAAATAGGACCTTGGAAATAATGGATAGTATTAAGAAGTTTTAATACTTCAACACCTATCCAAACATTCCTACAAAGCGGAATATGGCACATGCCTACCGGAATCAACTATTCCCTGATTAATATAACGAGGAACATCGGATTATATGTGACACATATTTGTGCAAGTTTCCTCTGAGAGAAAATTTTTTGCAGATGCCCTCCATTCATCCTCAATGCACTGAAGATATACTGAAATTAATATTGGTTGCCATAAGATATTAGTTGTGATTAGTTTCTTTCATATATTTTTGTCCATTATTATATAACATATTTTATGCTCCCGTATATTTCTTAGTTTTCGAAACAGCATCGGCTAAGAGTTGTTTCAGTGAGACTATTATTTTGGTTTATATAGAGATTATCCCATATCTATCATATTCAATTAATATCTAGATTTCATTCTTGCATATTCAAATTTAAACTAGTGTATTATACCATTTGTATTTTTTAGATCAAATGTATTAAAGTTTGTTTTCACAGAGTTTTGAATTATCTAACTATTGGGTACTAGAAAACAGAATAAATTGTCCAGGAAATAGTTATTAAATTGAAGTGCTGGGTACCCTGTCAAGATGTTTCAAATCTGACTAATAAAATTCAAAGAAGTTTGGTATATTATTAGATTAAAAATGATGTTGAATGATATTGAAATCAACATTCCTGAAATTATGTTATGATAAGAAACTTTAAAATTCATGATAAGACAAATAATCGTTGAACGATAATCAATCTTAATGAATTTTAGTGAAGATAACACTTGGGAACCTATAGAAAATCTTAACCACTGCAAGTTGATGGTGGACGAATTTGAAAAACAATTAACAAAACTGAAAGCTGAAAAAGCTCAGCAACAAGCTGCCAATTTGGTAAAGAGTCGCTCTAAAATTTTGAACACTTCTTCTCTCACGACGCCTGGATCATCTTCTGCCAATTTCAGTGCAGAAACTCCTAAGTAAGTATACGATCTCATCAATAGTAGGAAAAAAAAACCTAAAAATTCATCTTTAATCCTAGTTAAATATTTGAAAAACTTCAAATTTTCAAGCACAAAATTGATTTTATCAACATTTTTCCAGGTCTGAAATCAAAATTTTGTCTGTACTTAATCAATTTTTAATTTGTCACCTGTCGATGACAAAATATATTGAATCCATTATATAGAAGTTTCTAAAGTGTTCGCCTGAAAGTAGATAAATTTTAATGTTTCACTTACCTGAGAGTGGAATAACCCAAACTTATATTAAATTCAGATAAATTGAAAAATATGCCAGCATTTGTTTTGATAAATGAAAGATGAAAAAAAACCAACTATGTATAATTATATAAAGGTTATTTTGACATAGATAAGGAAATTGATTAATTTATTACATTTTGACATAATATTTAGGGTAATAAAAGTCTTACTTTTTTTTTCAGTCGTCCGACAAGAACCAGCAAACAAAAAGCTCTAAACCAAGTGAAAGCCTGGTGTGGCAATATATCTGATGAAGAAAATCCTCCTGTCGGCGCTAAACGACCTAGATCACCTGATAGTGACGACTCCTTTGAAAAAAGGATGAAGTTTGAAGAATTCTCTGATGACTCGGACACCCCAGTCAAGTTTTCACCTCCTAGGCCTCAGTTCAGAAAAATAGCTCCTAAACCTCAAAATATTCAAGTTGTGAATAATGGAATAGGTAAATCAACCACCCTTCCACCAAATGTATTGATACCTGATGCAAATGGAGTAGTAAGAATAAACCAAAAACAATTACCGTCGCTGAGTACTGGTGTTTACATTATGTCAAAGACTGCTGGAATTATAAAATTGGACTCGACAACATCTAAAGTTTCTACAAGTAATGCAGGGCAAACAATTGTAAAAGTAGCTCCAAAAATAGGTCAAACACAAATTAAAATTGTGAAGAAAGAGGGACCTACATCTACCACAAGACAAGTTATTCAAGTCACTCCCAACAAAAATGTTCAAACAACGCCCACTAAACCTTTAAAACCTGTCTTGAAAGCAAAAAAACCTATAGAAATTAGAACACCTGTCATTCCAAGATCTCCTGATAATAAAAAACCTACTGAAGTAATGAAGAAAGTTCAAGAAACCCATAAAAAGTCTGGTTTTGAAAAGATGACAACTCTGAAAAAACTACCAGATCAGTCTTTGAAACCAAGTATAACTAAAGTGCTCAATAAGAAAGAAGAACGCAAGCCAGCGACATTGTTATATCCAGAATCCCCCAAAAAAGTTGAGGAAGAAGAAGAGGAATCTGATGATGGATTAGAAGAATTACCTTTTCCAGATGAAATCAAGATACCTGAGCCTGAAAGCCCTACTTCAGAATTTACACTTGATCCATTCACAGGAAAAATTGCTGGACAAGAATATCCAGATATTCCAGATCCTGAACCAATAGAAGAGAGTAAATATGATTCTTTGGATAACATCGTCAAGTTAGCAGCAGCTGATATAACAGAAGAAGATCTGAAAAATGAACCACCAGAAACTCCAATGGAGATAGAAGATCCAATCGGTCTTGAGCGTGGTGATGAAGATGAAGAACTGGAAGAGAAAGTCATGGTCCCAGCAAAGAATGAACAAGTTAGAAAGATTTTGACAGCTCCACCAACAAGAACTGTTGTCAGAATGTCGGTTCTACCAAAGAAAGGCCCTAGTTCGATACTGAATAAGGCATTAACTGGTCAACAAGGTGTAAGAAAAAGCATATTACACAATACTTCCACCCCTAAAGTCAATCAAAGGATTCTGAACCCTTCAGTTGCTAGAAGCCCACAAGTTATGAATCCCATCATTAAACCAATCAGTTCTTATGTCCGCACAAAACCGGTAGCTCCTAAACCGAGACAGGTACTTAGACCTCACCATGATACGTCTCCGAAACATGTTTATACATTTCCTAGAACAAGTCCTGCAGCAAATATGAGAAAAATTGGAAATACGACAATTAGGAGTGCAACTTCACCAGTTGCCAGACCCCAGCCAAGAATGATTCATAGTAACATGAATGTGATGCAAAGGACTATTTCTCCTAAAAAAGAACCTACTTTCATTCGTGGTCAACCTGAGAGAGTTGAGAGAAAGGTTGTGCCCTCTAAACCAAAGACAGTTATAAGCATGCCTTCTTTAATAGGTGAGTTAACATGTTATAAACTTTTCTGGTAATAATAACTACTAGTACAAGCAATTTCAAGTGATATTTGAAAGATTACCTTTTTTTTTCTCAAATAATTGTAAAACTAGTTTTTGCACTGTTCACTTGCATCCTATCTTAATGACAAGCGAAGAAAAAATATAATTATTTAAAATGCAATTTGAGAAATAGGTTTCATTAATTTTTTTTTCAATTTTAAAATTTTCATCATTTCATAGACAATAATTAGTCAAGAACTTTTTCATTGCCAACAGGAGATGATGATTTAATAATTACACCACCAAAAGTTGTCCAGCCACCGAAACCACAATCTCCATCACTGCTTACAAGTACAGGAGAAAATGAAGCTCCTGCACTGTCAGCGGAAGATGGAAACCAAGAAGAGACTGCATTAATACCGATTTCCAAACAAGAACCTGAAGAAGAATCTACTGTAGCTTTAGCTTCAGAGGCTCAAAATGACTTGACAACAGACATGTCAGCCTTCACTCTTGCTGATAATGAGAATCCTATATTCATTACTGGAGATGATGGTACAGTTTACCAAGTGGCAGGTCAGAATGAACAAGGTCAAACAATCTTATTGACTCAGGGCAGTGATGGTCAGCAACAGTGTTTGCTAGTAACCAATGAGGTAGCAGAGGCTGTGGACCCAACGGCAATAACTGATGAGGTTCCACCACAGCCAGAGACAGAAATGTCTATGACAGAGTTAAGACCTGATGTTACTGAACAACTTTCCATCAAAACAGATCCAACTGAGAGTAACGATCAGGTGGTTGCTCAGGTGGTCAGGGCAGAACCGCCCAGTCCAGGTAAGAGTTAATTTTATTTTATTGAATCAAATAAATAACTTACCTTTTTCAAGTAACAGTATTTACTGAATGGGAATGATTGAGAAAGTTCCTTGGAGAGGTAATGCAAATACTCTCAAACTTATAGGAACTGGCTCCCAGGAAATTGATCAACTTCATCAGAAGTGTTAACATACCAAGTCTTGAATTTGGGTTACATACAAAAGGCTTTAAAGATAATTTCAAATACACCATAGATCATTGACTGTGGTCCAGAACACTTTCTTTGAATGGTCGCTAAAATCTTTGATGTCAAAATTCAATTTGGTAGGCTGTGGTCCAATGGGACCTGCAGTATCAAACGTTACTCCTGCTACTATGGCAGTTATCATCAGTGGTATATGCGTTGACTGCACAGTCAATGCACATACCACTGATGATGTCTGCCTCAGTAGCAAATTAAACGTTTGGTACCTCAAGTTCCATTCAACCAAGGCCTAGTAGCCCGGAATGTATTCTCTTTAATCGTGACTTCGGCCGTGAAAGCCTTCGTTCTTATAAAATTACAAATATGTTTTTCCATTAATCTATTGTCCCCCCCTTATGAACGACAAACCTCAGAGATCAAAACTTGTGCAAACTAAGGGTAAAGAGGTCTTTCCTTTAATGTGCGATTCCAAGCATAGTATAAATTCCTTATATCTGAGTTTGATAAAATCATCACAAATATGTCCTGATATCAGATGAAGCAATTGATACTGTGTCCCAAATTGCAAGTTGGAGAAATACATACTAGTTGAAAAGTGTAATGATGGTTGTAAACGCTTTTATCTATGGCTCCATCAGGCAGTAAGTTTTTGATAAATTATGAGAGATTCTTTGCATTGTAGACACGTTCATATTGATATATCTTCCGTCATTCCGTTATATTATTTATAATATATAATTTGCCAGTTACAGGTTCATTCTTAGTGACTTATCCAAATAATTAAAATCACGCTGTGCCAACAGATAAATAATTCAACTCTACCTTCAAATATTCAAATATATTGCAAAATACTTACAATTTCATATGAAGAAAACGAAATGTTCTTTCTTCACAATCTCTTTGAATGGCAGGCTGTACTGAATGTTTCCATAAATAATGTTCACTAATTTGAAAAAGGACACAAATATTGAACGGAAGTAATTTTTTCTTGAGGAAAGTCAGTTTTTATTGAAATAATCAGTATCTTCCAGTCTATTCTCGTTGAATACCAATTGTTGGTCAATCTGTGGTTATTGTTTAACTTCAATTTCTTCTGTCTTGCACTCAGATATTCCGAAAAAGATTTATCAATTGAATCTGTCTCAGAGAAGAATATTAATGATTAACCTTACCTTTCCGTTCAAGTACTGTTATTAAATTTTCATGACTGCACAACGTTGAAAACTTGAACGAGTGTAGTACAATTGATCGAGGTGAATGCCATTAACATTTATTTTCTAAATTCAAGCAATACTAAATGTTGAGGATTTATTCCAATATTGGCTATTAAAGAACCGCCTGGGTATAAACTGTGTGCAAAAATATAATTTACAAATAAACCCCTGAAAATTTCAGGTAGTGAACGGTGATGTCATCGAAACACCTATTCAACAAATAAAATTTGATGATAGTGGTTTTATTCGTCACTCCCTTTTCATTTTTTACAAGTCATTTGATGAACAGTCCAACCCGTGACAATAAAATTTGATATTCCATTGTAAATACATCAGGCCCAGTTATCCAAATAACCTCCGAACAGGTTTATTTTTATAAAAAGGAATTGTTTGATGAATGGATGTACTTTATTTAGAAATCCTGATATACACACATAGAACTAAAAATGTGGAAAACTTCCAAAGAAAGGAAGAAAGAAAATGAAAGATAAGTACAGCCCACACAGAAGTTTCTTCCAGTTTGTATCTTCGTTTTTATTGTAATTATATACTTCCTTTCGGTGGACATTTTCCACATTTTTTATTTGATGCAGAAGTAGAAAGCCAAAATTTTTTTTTTCTCAAAAAATAATCTCTCCTTAAAATATATATTTTTCCATTTGAACACTCATAGAATTGTGAAATGTTTCAATGATTTTGATAGTTACTTGACTTCTATTATTTGGGACGTTTATATTTGGATTAAAATTGAGAAAAATATAACTTCCGAGTGCACTCCTGCCATCATCAACCCACATTGGCTCAGGTATATTATCGCTCCAAAAATGTAATATGGGATTTGATATAAAGTAAGTAATAATATATTTTATTATTGTACAATAGGTTTTGAAACGAAAATAATGTAATAAGGTATTACATGTATATGATACAAATTTTGAAAGCACTACGTTTGGCTTATTCAAGAATAATAACAAATAGTGTGACCATTTTTTTTGGTTTTGTGCTGAGCCTGTGACATTTTTATTCTCAACTTTCTATTTAATCTGGTTCTTAATAACCTCTTGTAACAAATTGAAATAAGAAATGTTGACTCATATGAAAGCTGGAGTACCCCAAAGATCATGCCTACCAGTATCAAGAATGCGGGACCTTTTACTGGTAAAGGAATACTGTTATGAATACTTACCTTTGTTGTTACTGATGCTGTCTAAACATTACCATTTTTCCTTTGAATTTCCATTGCCTTCATCTATTATTCCCAACATTCAATATGACTTCATATTATTGAAGCAACGTGTGTGGTAAAAAAAAAAGAATATACAATTAGAAAAGACGAAAGCTTAACTGCAAGGCCATGTAGAGAAAGACAGAGGATGAATCACATTTGATGGTCAATGTCGAAGCTTGGCTAGTGTTGGATGATACATTCATGAAAGTAATAAAATGCGAATAAATGAATTTCAAAAGAAATTACATACTGTATTATATGACTTGAAAAAAATGTTCGTCGGTTCAGAATATTGAGAGTATAACAATGAAAATCTCCAGATACCATCCATGGAACTGTAAAACAGATTTTTTTGTGGAAATTTCGACGTTAATCTTGAAATTTCGAGTTTTGGGTCAAAATTTTGTGTGTGTAAATGCATTGTGTTCGGGCTCTAGTTAACCTTGCAGTGAAAGACAAAGGACTAATCTCATCGGCGGTCGAAGTCGAAGCTTGACTTTGTAATGGACCGCTTTGAGGAGCCTCGTTCATCTTTGATATTAGAGGATTGAGTTCTCTGTCGATCGCATAGATGGCGTCTTCGTAGATGTCATCGCCCTCACTCCTAATTACAACTTTAAGCTTAAAATTACAACTTGAAACTCGACGCATACTTTGTTTATTGAAAATTCCGATTCTCGAATCTCGAAGTTTCCAATAAACAATAAAGATATATAGCTCTTCTGCGCTTCTGTAGGTCACAATTTTCTCTGTCGCAAGGAATAAAAATCTTCAAAGTAGGTTTGGGTACTGTACTTTTTATACTATTCTAATCTCATGCCTTTCAGAAGATTGGTAGGAAATGTAACTTGGAACACTGGATTGGAACAGAAAAAAGGTTGGGTAGTGATGGCTCGGGTGGGAAGCAACCACAGACATTTCTACTCTATGAAACAACTCTTAGGCTCTCGATGTTTGTTAAGAATAATATTATTAAAGGTTCAATTTTGAATTAGAAAAAAACATTTTATGAAAACTGATGGCGTTGAAACAAATTCAGTTAGATGCCATAGGAGACATAATCAGTTCCACCAATTTATAATCACCCTCCAAACCATTCATTCGTTCATAATAGCAATTATACTATTACATTTTTTTTGCAATTGCTGGGTGAATGCTTATTTGAATTAAGGGTGTTTCAGTGTAATCTCTTCGTTCTGTAGTATTTTCAATGGTTTGAGAACAAATATACATATTTCATTTTCTGGAAGTTTTTATTTACCGCTATAAATTTTCATTTATGTGTGATCACTTGGAAACCTTCATCATGTTGTCAAAAACTCTCGACTTCAAAACTCGAGTTCAAATAAATTTCAGCATTTCATTCACGGAGGTGCTGAGTACAACTCAAGTGATGCAGCTTGACAATGTCAAGTTAGCACTTCAATTTTCAATACTGTTTACATTTGGGAATAAATTGATAGGTGAAAAATGTTTTTTATATATAAATTGAAGATATGTACAAACTACATGCGACAGATTTCGATTGTTGCACCGACTATCAACATGTGTACGAACTTGGGTTAATCTCATTTCTCGCTTCTACAGTTTTTAACAAAACAAAAACGAATCAGTTAAAACTCCAGGGTTTCTATGCATTTTTATATGAACATAAAAAATTTGACAGATGATGAATATTTGATATTTCCTGACGAAAGTTGGTGAACTATTTTAAATAGATATATGAAGATGAATCCTTGTAGATCCCCAAATACTACAATTTTCCTTGGCTCAGTGACTACCTAACTGAATTTACAGTTATTGTCTATATATTTATATAATTGAGAATATTCGTCAAGGTTTCCACTTTCTACATATCTGTATATTGAATACTAAATTGGTTGTAACATTTGGTAAGTGCATGATATTTATATGAAATTGTCTCATCCCAATAACATTTTCCTGCATTTTTACATCGGTTCAATTTTCATAAATTTTATTGGTAATTGTCTTGTGTTTTATTAGATTTTTAAGAAAAATCTATTTTAATTTATACTATTATCTGATGTATGTATCACATTATTGCCATCACGTTATACATGACGATTTTGGAAACCAAATTTTATTTTGTTTCTAGGTATGACACATTAGTGAAGTTAATTTTTGGTAATAGTGATCAAAGGAGAGAGTTAAATTTCGTCTCTCGACTTTTATGAGGTATTTTTTCAGTAGGGGGTGAAAACCTTTAATTTTTTACTTACATACTGTGCGTCTAACGGTTGAAACAATCCATAAAGATTGGCGGAGGCTGAAGTTGAGAAGTTTCAAAGGGAACTGTCAAAATACACGCATGTGGAATATTATACCCATCTGCATATTTTCATGTTGTGAGGGAAATGTGTTTTTCTTTAATCAGCTGTCATTCCCATACGAATAACAACCCTCAAATGTCGAAACTTAGAGCTAAGGATACTCAGTGAACAACCATCGACCAAGTGTTCCAATCGAATCAACATTCACAAAAGGGGTAGATTCGAACTCACCTACACTAACCAGCTGGCTACCATCTGGACATTTGATCACTATTTTGTTTAACAGAACATGAATAAGAAGTAAACACTACAGCATCTTCCCCATGTAGCTGTCAGATTTGCTAGAAAATAAGTAATATACTCACTTGTATATTTTGATTATAAAGACAATCTTGACACGCATATTGCCATCGCTGCTTTCTTCTGCGTGGTTCTCCATGATCCATCATGCTTCACTTATTTGCAGTGTATTATAAATTTTTCTACAAAACTTTGCTATTATTGAAATTATTTTTCGAAAAACGCCCTTAACAGAAACTGGTTTTCAGTTTTTGTCTGTTTATTTCAATTGGCTTGTGGGATGATAGTACTCTGGAGATCTTCAAAATATCGACTGTTTGCATCATCAAATTTTCAGTAGCACAAGTAACGAAACAACTAGTTTGGGTTTTTTTTTTTGTTTTATGAACTTGTATCGTTTAGATTAGGGTACTTGTTGCATTCCAAGGAATTCAAAGGAATTTTATAAGCATTGTTGCATTTAATTATGCTACTATTTAAGGCTGCATTTAATTATGCTACTATTTAAGGCTGCATTTAATTATGCTACTATTTAATTATTATTATTATACCCTTATCACTTTCGCATATCATAATTATAGATTCTGTGTCACATTCTGTCTGATCTCAAATTTCAACAGTTCCTGTAATTGATATTTGTAGGGCCACCGCTGCCTAATGGGTAATTATTGTCATTCCATAAGTTCGTTATATTACTTGATGGTTTTTTATGTCTTTGATTTCATATTCCAACTTTTTGTTTTTTTTTAATTTCTCGAATCTTTTAAAACTCATTCCTTTTCTATTCTATTCATGGTTTCTTAATTTTTTCTTCCTATTTAATTCACACTACTATCATTCACTATTTTGATTTTTCAGTTTGCGTGCATATTAATTGAAATACTCTTATGGATATACACTTCTAACCATTTTATGTAGCTACCACACCATCTTGATTTTAACAACATATATTAAACTTATTATAATCATGATATCCCGAATGCGCCAAGTTCAATGCCATAATTTTCTGAATTTTGCAAAGCAAATTACTTGAGTTTTACATAATTTGATGAAATCTTGATACTGTAGGTTGGGGGATTATTATGCACGAAATAGGGTTTGCTTAAAAGCAACATTTTGAAAATCATTGGATTTCAAGCATTCTGATCTATTGAACTTTGTGTACGAGGGATGTATTTGAGATTATTTCTAGAAAATGAAAACGATAAAGTAAATTCTTCCAATGGAATAATGGTCGTAGCTTCGTTCCGGCGCTATTATAACCAGCACACTTCTCACTCGTCATTATGTAATAAGAACTTCGTCCGAGGAATACAGACGTCACGTTTTTCACACTTATGTGCTTATCATTGAATCTTTCCCTTTTCATTTAATTTTGTCAAAATTTATATCTTTTCATTTAATTTTGTCAAAATTTATATAATCTTTCGTATACTTTCTGTTTGTTATGATCTTATTTCCACGTGGACATCCGGCCTCGAACCGACGTGAATGCAGGTGCATTTTCACTTTAAATATTCACTGCCTATTACCTCTATACTATAAGAATGTTTTTCTACGCACGTGTACAATGTATTCTTAACTATGGCGAACAACACTTCATTTAAATACTTTTTCAAGGCTCGTACCAAGACGGCGCGGCAGACACTCACGACATAGACTGAGTTCCATCCCTAACAATGGAGTCATGTCAAAGACGAAAATTTTAAAAATTCTGGATTTATTTGAAATATCTCCAACTTAGGTTTCGTAAATTATAATTACCTGTCTAAATAAATATTAACAGCGCTTGTCATAATCACAGATTCATGTTGAACAGATCTAGTGCATTTATTCGCTGTGAAACTCTGTAAAAGCTATCTAACCCTTGAATTATTCTTAAGGTTTACGGATTAAAGAAAATAATGCATGTGATGAAATATCGGTAGACAATAGCCATATGCTGCTAACTGATTACAATTGGTATTTAAAATCATATGCTCTCGGATAGAGCTAATGACTAGAAAAAAATCGAGCTGGTCGGACGCGGTTGAAAACATTTTGTAGAACGAAATGTTTCATCTGCTCAAGACTTTATTCAGTGGTGTAGACTACAAGGGCGAAGAAAGTACTTATCTCAATGTCTCAGCAATGACTGACTGGGAAACACCACCGTGCCTCCCCGAGGATGAATTTCCGTTGTTTCCCTACATGGTTCTGCTTAGAGCGAACTTCAACCTGCTGAGTAGCATTTCCGCGAGATTGCTGTCTAACCCTCGTTTGGTTTCAAGTCAGCCTCTGGCGTTCTGTTTTGATTTCCTGACTACTGTGTGTTTGCATGGTGGCCGCCTTTGTCAACTAGTGACTCGTGAATGTTGGGAGCTACCGTATTTGCACCAGTTGGAGTTTGGGCTTCCATGAGAATGCTCACTACTGATTGGCCCGCACTTTTGATACAATGTTCTGAACTGTCCGCATTGTTGATAGGTGGGTTGTCCATATTTATATGACAGACTTGGTCTGTTGATGATTGAGCATGTTCGGGTATTGCTGGTTTCTCCGGTTGCATAAACTATTTACATTTCACAGTATATATCCTACTCTTAATAAAAAATGTATGGAGTGATGTCATTTTGTGTATATTCTATTTATCAGCCCATTTACATGTAAATGAAATATACAAAGTATATTATACAATAATTCAATGTTTTATGTAATATGTAAGTAACCCTATTTTTTTTCTTCAACAGGTGGAACACACAAAGTGGTAGTGATGCTTCCTGATGGTAATCTTATGGTGACACAGGTATCTCCAGAAGAATTTGCCAGCTTAGAACTGGAATAAAAGAGTTATATTATTTTGATTGATTTTATAGGTGTATGTCTGATTTTTTTTTGAGTTATTGACCTTCGATGAAGTTTGTAAAATAGCATTTGAAATCTTATTATATAAGGATAGTAGATTTTTTAAAAGACCTTCAATTTCTTTATTTCAGTTCGTACTTTATATAAACAAATCAATATTTGTTATATTAATATTGTAAAGAGCAAAATGTATTATAATTCATATTATCAGTTGTACATATTTGTATTTATAAACTAAGTTACGATCTCTGAGAAATAAATTTTATAGTATTTCGGTTGTTTTTTAGAAATTTTTATTTTGAATAAAGTTCAACCTCTTGCTGCTCACTACATAAATTTCAATAGATGAAAAAAAGTAAGAAGTATATACATTTCGTTAGTACTAAAACTATACAAATGTATTTTTCAACATCCAATTAAAAAATTGCACTGAGTGTGCACTTACAAAGGAGAGTTTCATTGACATTTGAAGTGTTCAAGGTCACTGTAAATTTTTCTTGAAAAACGACTGAAATCTATTATTTTTTCTCCAGGTCGAACTTTCCTTATTTCCCAATCCTATCCCTTGTCATCATTATTAGAATATTAATATTGACATATGATATACGAGTCATAATCTGACCCGGGGGTAATATATTTTCAAAATAGAGTTCAGTGAGTCCTCAAATGAAATATTTCCACCGTGAAATCTTTTTTAATGAGTCAATAGGTTCGAATGGACCAAAAATATCAATATTTGTTCCTTGGAATGTGAAAATGTCAAAGTATGTCTTTCTACACCACTGGTGTACACTGACTCAAAAACAGTGGAAACTATAGATAGTGATTGGAGGATAAATATAGATATTTGTGTATTTGACCTAATCAGAACAATCATATGAATGAGAAAATATCCCAGCATGCAGGTCCCAAAACTGGTTTCTTAAGGGAAGAAATAAATATATCACGTTTTTTGTAACTTGGAAAGATGGTATATTTGTTTATATTTTTCTTATAAACTAGAGTATATTTGAAGTGAAGATCATTTATTCTTAGTATTATCATAGGTAGAAGACTACTATTAAAGGTGGGTTTATAAAACTAGGTACTAAGACACCATAAGATACAAAATAACATAAAACAAGAAATAAAATGATATACCCATTTATGAAAAAATAATATGGAAAATAAACACCTATCATGTGAACTGGGAGCACAATTCCCGAAAATAAGTAAGTTTATAGGTTATAATTTTTATAATGGAACAAGTATGGTTTCCAAACAGTCAAATCTCCAAATCACTAGGACGTATCGACGCATGCCCAGAGAAATTTAGAGAATAAGATGAATTAAAATTAAATGTGGAAAACTTTTAGCATAATGTTTATGCCTTATTTTGGCTTTTTCTTTTATGCAGCTCAAGATAACTTATCCCCTCCACCGCCAGATGAATATCTATCAAGCACAATATATATATAAAGCAAGCTACGTTATTCTCTGTTTATCAGATATTAGTAGGTACCAACGTTCGAGAGTGGACATCCAAAGCGCTTCGCCCATTACTACATCCCTAACACAATTATGAGCACCACCCAGAACAAATGTTGGATTTTATCATGTGCCCTGTCTCTAAACAATTTTGCTTCATGTTGAAACTACGCATTGGAAGTCAATAAATAAATAATTATATTCAATTTCAACATTCTGTATTAAGAATTTATGATGATTCATAATATGGAAAATGCGGTTTGTAGATGTTGCCGGTTTTAATATATTTCAGCGTTTTTCAACATGTCGATGAGAAAGAAAAGGCGATATGACATATTTTTCCTACGCCACCTATGAGGTCAGCCAAAATCGATATGAACCACTATTAATCACCTTTTTTGAATTGAATAAAATTGATCATTTATAAAATTATTTATGCAAAAAGCACTAAGAGTAATAAAAAAAGTTAAATTTGAAGCAACTGGACAAACATCACTTTCGTTGTAAATTGTAATAGAAGAGAACATGTTATCACGTCAAAAGTAATGAATATGTTACGGTAAAAGTAGATTTTGCGGTAAATTTATACATTTTCAGGTAAATGTGCACATTTGCCTTCTCGTTTGGGTAATGTGCATTCAAATAACATTTACAATTTCAAATAAGGGAAATATACATTGAATTCACAATCACAATGACCATGTCGTTTTGGTAAATATGAGCAAGTGCTAGTAATGTGGTGCGCATGCGCACTTGTAGTGGTACGCGAACTACCGTTTCGGCTAGTTCAATAGGCGCTGCTATTTCACGTTACACATTTCGTGTAAGTGCTCTATCTATAATGTTAATTTTACTATGTTTATGTACCCTATAATAACTACATTACAAATTAATGCCATAGTTTGCAGCACCACATCATCTGAAGATCTTGATCTAACTTGGAAGTAAAGAGTGTAAAGTTAGAAGAAAAGAATAAAAGTGATGTAGATTACCGCCGGCTGAAAAGATACGATATACTAGCGGTAGGGAAGGACAAAAAATTAATAAGTCCATTAAAAGAAGGGGGGAGCATAAAATATTTTGCAACAATTGAAGAAACTTATGGAATTATACACGATGCTCATTTGGCAACTGGCCATGGTGGCCGAAACAGATTAATGAGAGAAATTAATAACAAATACAACAACATTTCTACTGAAGCAGTTATGTTGTATTTATCTTTATGTGAAGCATGTCAAAAATTTTGACGAATGAAATGAATTCTAGGTGTCAAGTGGATCTTGTAGATTAACAGACACAACCAGATAATGAATTTAAATTTATTTTAAATTATCAAGATCATTTAACCAAATTTGTTGTACTGCGCCCACTAAAAACAAAAACTGCGTCAGAAGTAGCAAAAAAACTCAGGGCATTTTCACTCTTTTGGGAGCCCCATCCATTCTCCAATGAAGTTTTGAGATAAGTTCTGTTTTAAACGACAAGAAAATTTTAATTGATAATGCACTCGAAAGAAAGCAAGGGAAAATTTAGAAAATCAAGCTATTAAAATGTGTAATCTTTTGAAAGAAAAATTTCCTGCTTCTGTGATTGGTGACAATGTTTCCATTTCAGACGTTGATCGTGGTAAAAAACGGACCCAAAAAATTTGATTTGCGTTGTTTTGTCTAGAGATGAAGCCTAAAAGTTAGTCATCGGACAGCAATAAGCCATGATGGTTATACCTCTGAAGAAGCTAGCCACTCGCGCCAGGGAAACGTCAGGAAAAAATTCCAAAAATCCACCGCTTTCAAACTCGAAAAACAGTGACACTGAAAGAAAAGTATGTTTTGTTTGTCATTTGCATTTTTTAATTAAAATAATTTTCGTTATTGAAGCCTTTTGTATTATGTTTATTTAAATAAATATTTTTTACTGCAACAACATTTTTTATTTATTTGTATTCCAACTTTTCTTAAAACATGAAGGTAAGAGTATACATTTACCAAAACGTGAAGGCAAGAGTACACATTTGCCGGGAAATGTACATATACATTATATTCAGTTCACATATACCTAACTTTTTGGGAAATGTACACATTTTACAGTAAAAGTGTACATTTACCGTAACAAATATATTGCATACCTACATAGTGCGTAATTCAAACGCATTTTAGAGTCAATCTATCAATGCCATGAGTTCTATTTTTCAGAGTGGTCTCAAATAGCCAATATATTGTTTTTATTCCACAGCGTAATAAACTACAATGTATTTCATAGCAATGTCGATTTGGAAAAGTCAAACCTAAATTAAGAACCTTTTTGATATCCAATGCCATCGAGGGATTTTTGAGGACATGCCTTGATTAAAAATTATTTTTATATTTGATTGTATATTATATTTATACTTGATTACATACTATATAAAAATAGATCCTCGTTTTATAACAGGTTATGCTCAAAATTTTTTGGGTAAGTTTCAGACACAAACTAGAAGAAAAAGCCCCCTCGAAACAGCTACTTTCATATAAACATTGAATTACACGTAAGAAAAATACTTCCCAAACAAATACTTTTATATGAACACTAAATTATACAAAAACACTTTTCTCTATTCAGTTTGTATTCCAAACATTCGTTATGGTATTGAATTGTCATTACGTACTGTCATCGATGACATGAGTATATTGAACTCATTCCGTGACAGGAAGTCGTAATTTTTGTTAACGAATTGAGGGTTTTTTCTTTTAATATTATCAAGATTTTGTACTGATGAGCTGATAAAAGGCAAGTGTCTTACGGCGAAATGTCGGATGTCAACCAATTAGGATGACAGTTGAAGTGAAATTTTACCTCTTTCATTTACTATATAGTGTAGAAATCCTATGATTCGATTCCATACGAATGTTTGGAATATAAACTGAATAGAGCAAAATATTTTTTTATAAAATTCAGTGTTCATATAAAAGTATTGGTTTCAAAAGTATTTTTCTTTCGTGTTTATATGAAAGTTTATATGTTTATATGAAAGTAGCTCTGTTTCTAGAGAGCTTTTTTTCATTAATATCTGAAAGTTACTTCTTTGCATGATCTACACATCTTTGTCTTTGTATAGAGTTAACTTTTTGAAATTGATTGCTGTCTTTCTTTCTTTGAAAGATTCCAACATTATTTGTACCAAGATGGAGAAGAAGATAGCCTAAACCTTTTTATCCCAAAATATTAATCTCTCCTAAACTAATTAATCTTTCCGAACTGCATCGATCGATTGTGGAAAAACTATAATAATTAGAAAGGATCTGAAAATTTAACTACACACTCAAGTCGATGGAGGCAACTCGGCTAAAATATTTTCAAAATGGCGGCATTTCCAGTTATACCGGAAGTACCTAGCTGTCAACTTCGTTATTTTAAATGGAACACCCTATATATCATTACATTTTTGGATTCTACATCAGAATCTAAATTCTAAATAATTTTTGTGTATAATGTCCTATATCTAAGTCTAACCGTTTTTGACATCCTCCGTAGATAATAAATGAATAATCTTCGTTTGTGTAATGCAATCGTCCCGGCATGATTCATTATTGACAATTTGCAAATGACAAGAAGTGAGATTCCAACTGACAGAATTTAGAAACCGTATAGTAAGAATAATCTTTTATTAAAACAACGATGAAAATTAAATAAAAACAACAATAAAAATTAATTGGCGCTCCGGGGCGACTTCATTGATTCCAGTGGCGCATTTGCTTTTTCAGCTGCAGGAAAACCCGGAAAAACCTGCAGCACCACATCATCTGAAGATCTTGATCTAACAATGTTCTCTCTCTTATAAAACAAAATGTAGGGTGTCTCCAGAGGCTCCAATAAATTCAATGCATCGTCAGAACACTTCGTGACACGACTATCGTCAAACTTAAACCAGTCCGTTTCGTCTTTGACCAAGCAGGCGTATAGTAAGTATTCTGTCGATAGAAAAATATTAAATTGCAAATATTTCAAAAACTACTGATTTTCGGAATAGCTATCCTTACACAAAATTAGTCTAATTTTCAATGTTTTATACGATTATATAATAAAAATGGGGGTGTCTATTTATAAAAGTCACTTTAGACGGTTGATTAATAATTATCAAAATTTCATATGGAGTCTATTAAATTTGGTTCTACTCTACAAGAAACCCCACTAAAACATAATGATGAAGGTTTCTTTATAGGAAAAATCGATACCTAAATATTGTAGGGTTTGCAACTATCATTTCTGACATAAACACTTGAATATGTCAAAACGATCAGACTTGGATATATGATATTATACATAAAAAGTATTCAGATTCTGGTGTGGAATCCAAAAATGTAATGATATATAGGGTGGTATGTTTAAAATAACGAAATTGACACCTACTTTCACTATAACCCGAGGTGCCGCCATCTTGAAAGTATTTTACCCGAGTTGTCCCCATCGACTTTGGTATACCTATTGTCAAATTTTCAGATTTTTTTCTAATTATAGTTTTCCTACAATCGATCGATGCAGTTCCTGGAGATTCACCCTGTATTATATAATGCATAGGTAAAAAAAATACTTTCAACCGAAAAGCACAATAAAAGCCACAACAAAACAGGATTAGTTTATGTGTTTCCTTCTAGCTTAGTTCTTATATTTCCAGGGCGATTGGGACAATGAAATTTTCAATATACCTATGTAAATAAATTGTTCTGTAATCTAATAACAATGTTATCAACCCTATGTAATGTGGCTTTAGGTTTTTATAATGAAATATTTATTATGAAACATTTATTGTCATAATAACATTGCAAAATCTATAAAATTTATAATCACAATCTAGTGACTGATTCATACACCAACGTTTTACTTTTTCTTGAGGATTTCCTATAGTGAAAAAATCGGTATTCGTTCATTACCGACAGTGTGGTCCATATTATTTGTTTTGTGGTAAACTCAATGAAATTAATAATTTATTCATCTGAAAATAATGATACATTAGTTAAATAATTGTACAGGCGACTTACCCAAGAAGGGATGATTTTCACCAAAATCAATAGCAGGATTCAACCTATAGGGTTCGGAAGATGAAATCATCACAAATAACGTGCTGAAAGAGTTTCCACTTTGAACACTGGAAGTATTGAAAAACTTTCTATTTCAACTCGTAATGGATTTTTTGAATGCTGTTTCTGTCCATTTTCAACCGCGCGTGCTTAGAGTCTTTCTAATATCGAGCGCGGTTGGAAAAATAACGGCGCTTGAAAAAAATCGATATCTTTATAAATTCAGAACTGATATTCATGTTTCTCTTTTATTCTGTGGTAGCTCGTGAAAAAAGCATGTAACATATTGATTATACCAAAAAATGAATAATTGTGGTAGTAACAATTATGGTTATCAACATTATTTCAAAAACTCAATTTCTATCTTGGAAAAAGTTTTACACAAAGTCAGACTGTATCTATGGACATGTCGAAGGATATGTGGTAAAACTTGGGGTTTAGATCCCAAACAAATCCATTGGATTTATGTGATGATTGTCAGACCAATGAGGCTAGATGGACTGCATATAGACTTGTGCACATTGCCAATTGCACAAATCAATTTAATGCAGAGTGCAACAGACTGTTGGTTGACACTGGAAGTCACAGCATTCTGGAAATGACCTCTGACTTTATGTCCCCATTTGTCAACTACGAACTGCCTTATAAAGTACTGTTCCTGAGCAGAGATGACTGGATCCTCTGGGTGAAGGAAATATTAAGAGCAGATAGTTGTTGGTTTACAGATGGATCAAAAACACCTTCCGGTTTTGGTGCAGGTGTTTTCAGTCGCAAATCCAAGACAGAGACATCAACCTGCCTAGGAACCTATGCGACTGTATTTCAGGTGAAAATTTACGCTATTGAATTGTGTGCGGAGAGATTGGAAGAATCCAATCTCATACACAAGTCAATAAAAATATTGTCGGACAGTTGGAAGCTCTTGGCTCCTACCAAGCAACTTCTAAATTGGTAGCAAATTGCTAAAAACGACTCTCCTCGATAGAAAGACTTAGCAGATTGTCTCTGGTAATACTGGCCATACTGGCCTAGAAGGCAAATAGGCTGTTGACTCTCTTGCAAAGGAGGGTGCTGCAAGCAGCTTCATCGGACTAAAACTTGTCATTGGCATCGTTTTAGGCGTTGCTAAACAAACATTGAACACCTGGATGGCAAGAAGATTTATGGACTTTTGGGGGACTTCTCCAGAATTGGCTCACTCCAAGGCGTTTATTCACCCTTCGAAGCTTGATACCAAACATTTGTTGGACTTCAGTAGAGATGAACTACGATGTCTAACAGGCCTTCTTACAGGCCACTGTCATTTGAATTATTATATGCAGAGACTCGGACTGTCGGGATACAGTGTGTGCCTGCCTCGCTGGGGACCGAATCAGGTTTTTAGAGTTCGGCAGAGCCGTACTCTTACCATCTGACCTGAAAGACCACTCACCATACAATCTATTCGGCTTCGTTAAGAAGCTGGGTTCATTTGGTCGAGTTAGAATAGGTGTGAGCCACAATAAACCCTTGCGGGTTGCGATGGGGGTCGAATAAACCCACTCACATTGGAATTAACCTAACCTAACTCAACTATTGAATTATAGACAGACAAATTAATAAAAAATAAGAAGAAGACATTTTCAATTTCACAAAACCTTTATGTATTTATTAAAGAAAATACGCAGCATGGAAGTTTCTTCTGTAAGATTATCCTTACTGGGTTCTTCTTATCCGATGCAGCATTTCGGTGTGTGTCGATGCTTCACCGCTACCCTGGAGGGAAATAAGTTTTCATCCTCTAAATTCTAACAGTCTAGCACACGGAAAAATACAGTGAAAAGAAAAAGTACATGAAAAAAGAAACAAACCAATGAGGAAATCAAGAAATGAAGTACAATATTGTGTTTTTATTACAAGAAATTCTGTAATAGAAAGAGTATTGGTGATAATAGCGCCAAATTTGGAAGCTGGAACCAAAGGCAAGAAGAAGAAGAAGAAGTTAGATATCTTCATTCTATTAACCTACAAAACTACGAAACCAAAATAAGAATACATTAAGAGCGATCCAGTCCTGAAAAATTTAAACAGAAGGAAAAAACTTATCCACAAAAAATGGATGTTGAAGATGACCCCAAAGAATATCGTTGGGAAACCGGATATGAAAAAACTTGGTACATACTCCTAAGATTCTGATATTTTCCACAATAATTGTTTCTTATATTCAAAGGGAAGCTATTAAAGAGGACGATGAAGGGTTTCTTGAGGCTTCAGTGGCAGATATTGTACAAAGAGCCAAACGAAAACGTCAAGCACTCAAACATGGTAGTCAGAAACTGGGAATGATGAGACATTTATTCTTACTTTTGGACTGTTCTGAATCTATGTCTAGTCAGGATTTGAAACCCACACGGCTAATATGTACTTTGAAGGTGTGAAATTGATTCTCAAAAAATCATCACTATGGATCTTATGAAACTACTTTTCCCGTAGTCTACTGTATTACTTTCAACTAACTTGTTTCTCATAATGGTTTTAACATGGTTCTTGTGCATAGAAAAAATAACTTCAATAGATATGTCTATGCCAGAGGTTCCAGTTTTACCAATTAATGATGAGTTTTTATTGAGATCTGAACAACATCAGAAAAAGAATTTTAGAAGCAGTGTATTCTCATTTATTTGTTTCATATATTTAATTCTACCAATATACAACTACCAAACATAAAGCTAATGATATGTCTTTATGTTGGTCAGTTTTTTATTCTCTTCCATGAATTTTTCAATGATTTTTGCAGATTAATTTTAATTACTTCATATCACACACTTAACTGGTTCAACAAATCATGTTTTTATTAAAATCTGTTTGCTCTTGAAAACAGTTGGCGGAGATTTTTTTATTGAAATCATATACCCTATTGTAAATACACACTTTTCCCAAAACTTCAGCGTCATGAGAAGATTATTTGAACTTATTTCTAAACTTGGACTACTTATATCTTCAAGTACTGATTCCTTAAATAAGAATCATCAGGAGTTTTCCCGCTTTTTTGAAAAACACGGTTTATGATACCTACAGTGAATAATGAGTTTTTTGGATTGGACCTTCGTCTCTATTAATAGTTCTCATACCACTTTTTGCTATTTCAAGTATTTGGAAGTGATATTTATTTATCTCAGACTAGACTTTTATAATTCACAAAATGTGATACTCACTAAATGCTTTTTGTTACAGTCTTCTCATCCTAATAGCATATGTTAAAAATCCCACATTGTTGAAGTGAATAAGCAGTTTTGAAAGCATCTTTCAATAAAGGGGTATATTTCCATCCCAAAAACTATAAAGATACTATGTTAGAAATCAAGGAATCTGGTCATTGTACACTCCTGTGAAGTGAATTAATGAAAAATATCTCCCTAATGTGTACTTGAGAAGTCAGTGGTGTTTAAACCTGTGAGATGTAAATGAACCAGTTGGGGTTTAGATCATTTCCATCAATATGTTTGATGAAACGCTTGTTGAGAAAAGTTATCTATTATGAGGGGAAGTATGTTTTTGGGAATAAAATATGAAAGAACACATTGGTGTAGTGCATGATTTTCAATATTGATTCAAAAGAAATAAAATCAATGAGATCTCATGAGAATTGGAATTTTCAAATCATTGGTATAACTGTAATCTCACGAATAAATGTAATGAAGTTACTTTTACTATTTTTAGAACTTATAAAACATAATTTCTGATACAAATTTCTGTATGTACACAGTTCTGGTATGTGGGACAAGTAATTTCATTATACCCTAAAAGTTTCAGTTCTGCCCATTAATCACCATAAATCTTTCTTCGTTTTAGCTTTTGGAAATGTTTTTAGATGAATTTTTTGATCAGAACCCAATAAGTCAAATGGGAATAATAATAATGCATAACAAACGAGCTGAAAAAATAAGTGATTTAGCTGGCAATTGCAGGAAACATATGAAACACCTCAGTAGCCTAAATCGAACAACCCTTGTTGGAGAACCATCATTGCAAAATGGATTGGAGATGGCATTATCATCTTTGAAACTGTTACCATCTCATGCCAGCAGAGAAATCTTGGTTATTATGGGAAGTCTAACAACATGTGACCCTGGTGACATATTGACTACAATCAATGTGAGAAATAATTTTTGTCTCTCTTATCGTCATAGCTTTTTTTAAATCTGATACAAACTTCTCTTACATAAGGACTAAAGCCCTCTTTGATGAGTGTTTCACTTACCTTCACCATCAGATGATAAAACTTTATAAATAACTTTTTTGGATACTGCTTATTATGTAATACTTTCACCACAATTTTCAAATCCATATTGTTTGGAAATTGGATAATGGCAGGAGGCAAAGGCAACATGCTTCTGAAAGTTATAGTGGAAATTTAGCCATTTTTGCAACAATGAATATTTTCAAAAATAATGATAAGTAATTCAATAAGTTATAATTTTTTGTTTTGTATATTGGGAAAAATAAATCCTCTAGTGCTATTGTAGGGTTTTGTCAAATTGGATAGATGCTTAAAATGAGTTCAAATGTTTTAAATGTGATTGTTTGTTAACCAGCCGTCAATCTATGCTACTAATGATAATCCTCAGAAGTCTAAGCTTGTGCGAGACAAGAATTAATGAGGCATTACCTTTCAAAAAGCGATTACTAGCATGGGTCAGACAACACGTTGCAAACATTAATAGTCTCATAGTGGGGATCGCACCAACTTTCGCATAGTGGTTGACTGAAAGAGTAGAAAGAACCACCCACTCTAACAAAGCGGCAATATTCCTTGTTGAATGTTAATCGCTCAAACTTCCATTGCCTGAAATATTAATATGAAATCTAAGAGGGAAAATTTATAAAATGAATAGAAAAGTTGAAAAACAAAATTTGTTAATATTTAAAGTTATTCACAGTAATATGTCAAGAATATACAGATTTAAAGAATAGTGGAAATGTTTGGTCAACTGCAGCTCTCTTTTCCTCATAGTTAATTGTCATGGAGACGGCAGGTCAGTGCAAGGATACTGTCATCATTTTACTGAATTGATGCTGGGTGCTATCTATGCCTTGAATGGGTGAACGGATCATGATCAGATTTTCAGTGCAATATCCATGACATTTCGAAAATTTCATGTTAAAAAGTTAGAATCCAATAATTCTTCACTCATAAAAGTTTCAACTTTTTAAGTTGGCCATTCAATTGGCTAGTGACAGCTTCTGTTTAAATCTGTTTTTCTGTTAATCAGCTGTCGCCCCCATACGAACGACAACTCTCAGAAGTTGAGAAACTTGTGCGAGCTAAGGACTAACGAGGTCTTACCTTTTAACGTGTGATTCCCAACAAGGTTGCAGAATCATTCCAGTTTCAACCAGATAAATTCTCTCGAGAAAAATATCTGGTCGAGGCGGGAATCGAACCCACGGCCTTCCGATCGTGAGTTGGGCGCACTACCACCGCGGCCATTTCCACAATTCCAATTGACCCAGAGATGACTACAAGGAGCTATCGCAGTTGGTTTTCGTGTTTGTTGGATCACTAGACGGCAATATTGTATAATCTGTATAATTCAGGGTTCATATAAAAGTATTTGTTTCGAAAAAAAAATGTCTTTCGTGTAATTCAATGCTTATATGAAAGTAGCTGTTTCAGGAAGGCTTTTTCTTTCAGATTTGTGTCTGAAAGTTGCTTCTTTGCATGATCTACACATTTATGTATATAGTTACTTCTTTTAAAATTGATTACTTCCTTCCTTTCTTTGGAAGATTTCCTTCTGTTTAAATCTGTTTTTCCGTTAATCAGCTGTCACCCCCATACGAACGACAAGTCTCAGAAGTTGAGAAACTTGTGCGAGCTAAGGATTAACGAGGTGTGATTCCTAACACGGTTGCAGAATCATTTCACTTTCAACCAGATAAATTCTCTCGAGAAAAATATCTGGTCGAGGCTGGAATCGAACCCACGGCCTTCCGATCGTGAGTTGGGCGCACTACCCCCGCGGCCAATTCCACAATTCTAATTAGACTAATTGCTGCACTGGGTAGACTGAATGAGTTTTTGTTCAGTATGTTTCTTTCACCTTCTTTTTTAGCAGTATCTCTCCTACAAAATTGATGACAAATTCTTAAACAATATATCCTGTCTTCACTTACATATCCTCTCCAATCTATTCCTTTAACAAAATTGACTTGAAAATTATAGGAAGATATTGATAACCTAGTAAGTAATGCTGTGAAAGATAGTGAAAATTTTTCATTTATGCTTTAAGAAAATACAGAGGTATTGGAATTGTACTTGGGAAGCTTTAAACTAACAGATGTGTTTTAAACTTTGTACACTTATCAAGAGTCGGGGACAATACAATAATTTCATAAGTTTATCTCATTATCCTGATCAGGATCTCCAAGATTAAATAATTTCCTCATACAGTCTCTGTGTGAGAACAAGTGAGATAACCACACTGTCTGTGCTTGCGTATATATTAGCGTGACAGGATCTCATAGACAGGGAAAAATGTCGGAATTTTGTTCGCCTTGATACCACAAAACGATTAGCCTCTCCAGATATTGAAATAGCCGAAATTTGAGCTAGATTAAACGACGTTAACCCGTGCCGCTCGTCGCTTAAAGTTAGAAAAAATACAAATTTTTGTCCAAAAAGCTGACATATGGAGCCATAACTCCAGAACACTAAATAATAAAAACACGCTTAATATCTCAAAAGAAAGCTAATGTTTTTTGGCGTTTTCTTGAGTTTTTAGTATAAACATAATGAAATATAAGTTATACTGATAAGTCTAATGACATTTTTTATTTTAAAATATTAAAATCAGGTATATAATACATACAAAACAGACACAGAAAAGATACAGACGTAGTACCTCTATGAGTTGATAATTGTACATATTTATCTAATCTATTCTAGACATTTGTTAAAGTAGTTTTTGAAACATCAGGATATAATGCTCGGCATTTGCTTACAACTTGCAGGACATATTGCTTTTGGTCTTCATCTTTTGTCAGAAGGTTGTTGAAGTCGGTTAATAATTTAACACCATGCTCAGCCATATCATCAACTACTTTTAATGTTTTGACCATTTTCAGTTCTTCTTGGAAGTCATTATTTTGAGGACAGGTGTTTGGATAGTCTCTTAGGAAATCTGTTTTTATATTAAATCGGTCAAAAAATGTAAATGTTTCTTTAGTGAGTAAATTTACCAATCCTCCATCAACTACCTCTTTTGATTTTTCTTTCCTATCTGTGCTACTGAGTAATTTATTAACCATTAACAAATTTTCGTCGCCTGAAATGGTGGGGTCAAAAAAAGATAATCCAACCAACTCTGCATAGTCAGGGCTATTTCTGCAATGTCATTGTCACATTCTTCACCTCATTCAGATATTTTCAGGAAATTCATCACTGCGTGTCCCAAGATAGACAAAGGAAAATACAACTCAGGTATCATTGACAATCTAATACAAAAACAGCTAACTCTAGAAGTTGGAATTTGTAATTCAGTACCTTATCTGATTTCATTTTAATTATAATTTAACATTGTAATTTATACTTTAAATGGGCTTACCCGAAAATGTATAAATAAATAAATAATTGCAAATGTTACTGGTGAATTCGAGACTAAATTAACTGAGAACCACCCCCAGAGATGACTACAAGGAGCTATCGCAGTTGGTTTTCGTATTTGTTGGATCACTAGACGGCAATGTTGTATAATCTGTATAATTCAGGGTTCATATAAAAGTATTTGTTTCGAAAAAAAATGTCTTTCGTGTAATTCAATGCTTATATGAAAGTAGCTGTTTCAGGAAGGCTTTTTCTTCCAGATTTGTGTCTGAAAGTTGCTTCTTTGCATGATCTACACATTTATGTATATAGTTACTTCTTCCTTTCTTTGGAAGATTCCCACATTTTTCTGTATTAAGATGGAATAGTAGAAAGCCAAAAACTTTCTTTTCCAAATATTTTGGTATTTTGCATAGTATGTTAGACTATAAAGAATGTGACGACATTGCAGAAATAACCCTGACCAAATGAGCAAACCATTCAAAAAGCAAAATTTAAGAACTCTTTCATTTGGAAAACTGCATGTATGTGGAATAAACTTCCTGAAAACGTTTTTCCAAATGTATTTAATCTTCAGCAATTCAAATCCAATGTGAATCACTACTTTCGCACAGGCACCGCTCTTAGAGCGCCTTGAGGATTTTCCTTTAGTGCTTGTGTTTCATTCTTTAAAAAAATGGATATTTAGCACCCCTCGCTTTTTTGCAACATATTTTTTTTGTAAATAGATTTCTGATTTCGGACTTATTGTAAGTTACATCAAGCCATAGGACTTGTTATCGATGTTGAACACAATCTTAAATTAGTTTCGAATAATTTTTTAGTTTGTGTTGCTATTGAAGCGTGTACAAG